GTTACTACGTGTATCTTAACATTTACTGTAATCCTGAAGTTACTACGTGTATCTTACCATTTACTGTAATCCTGAAGTTACTACGTGCATCTTAACATTTACTGTAATCCTGAAGTTACTACGTGTATCTTACCATTTACTGTAATAATTCTTAATAATTCCCTATTTTTTCATATGTTATAAATCCTTTAAAAATAAAAACATTTGTGCATCAGACTGAAAATGTAAATTTCTCCACCTTCAGAAAGGACTACCATTTTGTTATACATGAAGAACCCTCTGAGGGTTCCCATACTACTTTCAAACCTGTACCTGTTGTGGACTTTCATCCCAGTAAAGGAAAGTAACCAACATGTGGTTGAACATATTAGCAATGACCAGAATGCTGGAAAGGTGAGAAACCATGAAATTATAATTTGGTTGTAAAGAATATTCAGACTGATACATATTAATTTTACCGCTAGATTCTGAAGTTCTGCTTCTTGATAATAAGTTTAGAAGATTGTTTTTTTTAATTTTATGAATTCATTATGTTATTCTACAATATTTATTTTATTCAATCGCCATAGTTAACCTAAGACTAAATATCAAGAATTTCACAAACCTCTCGCTGAGCTAGCACACATTTTTGGAATTGATTTTATAAGGCTTACAAAAATGGGAGTTAACAACTGCTGTGGCTTACATTCTGCATTTTCTATATACACATCTGTGTTAAGGCTTACAAAAATGGGAGTTAACAACTGCTGTGGCTTACATTCTGCATTTTCTATATACACATCTGTGTGTTTTTACTCTACTAAGGTTCAGTTCTCACTTTTTTCCTATGTAAAATACACACTTGATAGAAGAATTTTCCATCCATGTCTCTTTTCGTTCAGGAGTAACTCCATCTTTGTGCCTCCTTCTGATTGTCATTATGGTATATCTGGCCTTCAAAAGATAACTGTCATAGTATAATGTACCTGAAAATACCAGTATAACAAGGACAGTGTTTGAAACCCTAATGGTTATGTATTTTAAGAGCTTGTTTATTTGACAGTGATCTGTGTTCATGTTATTCTCAACAATCTATAGTTTGGGATGTTCAAGTGAGTTATGAATGTAGACTGTACTTGAAAATTGTTGATTTACCGAATTAAAAAAATGGTGATTTGTTCAAAGAATATTTTCTTCAATCTGAGATTTTTAGTTAAGTAAGTATTGCTATTTCTGATTTATTAAGATCAAAGTGAGGATTGATATTTTTGATGTAAGACTATAATTTTGTGGTTAAATATAGATGTTTAAATATGAAGACTTAAACTTATTGTCACACTACATACAAATGTTATGGAGTTTATTAGTAAATATAT